CGGAAAGCAGATCGACAAAACATCAAAAGAGCGAGGTCTTCAGATGGGAGACAGACCTCGTAAATGTGATCAATCCCATGGGCTCTTAAGAAATGCTTATCTTTTGTAACCACAATGATTCTACTGCCACTTCCAAACCATTGAGTTCTTCCTGCTAAGGCATCTAGCACATCTTGATCATCCAAATCATCGATAAAAATAAGAGATTTTCGGTGCCTTAGCATATTTTCCACCGCACCTATATGGTCTATCTTTATATCCCTCTTATCTAAAACTTCAGCCAGAAAAGCTCGTTGCAAATGCAACTTCATATTATAGTCACCTAGATTAGCTCCTGTATAGATTTCCATACTTTTGGATATGAAAACCTTATCTATGAAAGCCTTACTTGGGAAACAACGAGAGAGTCGATTAAATAAATCCCTTGCAATGGTAGTCTTGCCAATTCCGGAGGGACCCCATATCCCAACCATCCTCACTTCCTTTGACTCCAAGTCAAGCAATGAACTCATAGCTCTGATGTGATCTTCAATTCCAACAAAATCCTCAAACTCATCTGATGAAGATACATTCAGTTTGCTCAAAACGTCATTGGCTATTTCCTCGACCATCCTTGCTTCATTAGCCCTGATAAGGGAAAAAAAGAGATCATTTCGGATTACACAATCATGTTTGTTACTTGTTAGCCAATGCTCCCTCTTTTTTATTTAAATGCCAATTTTAACATCTTTCACTCAGATTAAATTCATTTAAATATTTATTAGTTATAGTATATCTATTTGATCAATACTAAATGTGATAAAATAAATTATTTATAAGATCAATATAATTTGTAATTAATATTAAACTGAAACTAAATATAATTTGCATTGAAATCTCCTATATATTAAATGAGAACAATTGTCATTTATTGAATTCACATTACGTTTGGCACGTGGTAGCTTCACCGCGATTTGAGATCAAGTAGGCTGACGTGTCACATGCAGAGAATTTTTCAGCCAAACTCTACATAATTGTGTTCACACTATATATATTATTTTATATTTTTAATATAAAACTTGCATACATGGTTCTACGGGTCATACAAAAGTTCTATACAGAAAGATAATTTACAAAAAAATCACTATTATCTAAGCTTGTTTTATTTTTACTTAATTTAGTTTAATAAAATATTATATTTCATGTGCTATTTTGAACAAAAAAATTCTTTTAATATTAATTACGGTATCTTTATATATTTATCAACCGCCTTTCTCTATTTTTCACATACACATACATGTAAGAGTGGACATAAATCGGATATTGAAAATTTTGGAGGTATTCGTGATCCAATATGTTACATCCGAATAATGAATTATCCTATTCGATTCGATCCGTAGCCATCTAAATAACGGTGTCTCAAGAAAATTATATTTTAACCGGTTTCAATTTGTAAAAAAAATCTTAATAATAATATTTTGTTACAAAATTAAAAAAAAAAAAACAAATTTACTTTTTCAATACTAATAACTTATTTTGATATATTTAGTAAATAAAAATACTGTAAAACTTATAGAGATTTTTTATTTATATAACTAATATATATACTTCATTATATATTTATATATATAAGCATATAATGGATCAGATCTAATATTCATTTTTAAAAATATTAATATTTGTGATTTGCTTCATTTTTTATGGATATTGCATATTAGTATTTTCTTTTCTTCGTAGAGTTATGAATATCCAAATTTTGTGTTCGGATCGAAAAGGATGACGAATCATAACAAAATATACAGATATTTTTCCCAACCTACATACATGAAATCAAACAAATAATAATAGTTTTTAGTTATCATTGAAAAATCTAAAAACCTCAATCGTTTTAACCAAATAAAAAAAATAAATTGATTAAGAATAGTAATTATATTTTAATAGACTAAAAAAAAAACAAAAAAGTTAACCTGAGACCGAAACGATATCCAGATAAACAGTCATAATATCTTTTTATCTAAAAAATAATTCCGCACAGGACGCGAATTATTACCTAGTTCTAAAATGATAATGTAATAAGAAAAAAAACTTACATTTTAATAATCAGAGGGAGGGAGTTGTATATATCAGTTAGTCATGCGACTTTGGCTTTCCGAAACTGAACCGAACCGAACCGTCGGTTTTTGGTTAACCGGTATTTTTAAAATCTATTCTAAAATTAACCGAATTAAATTTCGGTTCGGTTCTTGGTTAATTTCGGTTTTTAAAATCATTTCTAAAAATAACTAATTTTTTGGTTTTCGGTTAAATTCGGTCTAATTTTCTAAAAAAAAGATCAGATATTTTCGGTTAGATTCGGTTATTTCGGTTAAGTTCTGATATTTTTCGTTAAATTCGGTTCGATTTTTCAGAGATTTTTGGTTACTTACATTTATTTTCAGTTTTTTTTTTAGTTTAAAAAAGAAATAAAACAAAAAACAAACCGAAAACTGAAAATGTCAATTCGGTTCGGACAAAAGCCGCAGTATCAGTGATTCACAGATTCTTACCAGGTGACACTATGATATCCAAGGATGTTAGCTACATCAGTCAAAGCTTCCTTCCATCGAATGATCTCGTCCTCTGTTTTGTTTTGGCATGTCTTGTCAAAGATCTTCCCAAAGTCTCCGGTCTGTTTTCTCACGTTGGAAGGATCCAAATCATAGAAAACAGGTATGACCACTTGACTACACTCTTCCTTGCACTTCACGATCTCAAGCAACTCATTAAGACACCAGCTTGAAGAAGCATAGTTTGGGGAGAAAATGACCACTGCAATCCTTGAATCCTTGATCGCCTGCCTAAGCTCCGGATCCAGCGAACGGCTTCTCTCGATCTCATTGTCTTTGAAAGCAATGATAAGTTTCCGATCTAGCTCCTTCAGAAAGTGGCTTAGAAAGGTCTTGCGGACATCTTCTCCGCTGAAGCTTGGAAAAACATCGTATGACCAATTGCGAGAAGAGGATGAAGAAGCCATAAAAACTTTGTATTAGTTAATTCCGGGGAAAAAAAAAGAGTGAGAAGAAGGTAAAACAAGGAACTGCATATATATTATCAGAGCAGTAGTAGCAGCCTAGAAGTTGCATCATTGTTTCCAAGTCTTTTCTAATGCAACTTGGTGGAGGTTTCCTCTTACTGTGTAGTGACTTTTCACAAAACTTAGTCGTTTTTTATTGTTTTTTTTCCCTCCAGTAACATTTAAAGTTTCTCTCACATCAACAATGTCAAAAGTTTGTAAACTTTCTCTGCTCGGTTTATGACCGAATCATTTAGCCGAATATTAAAGAAGCCCACAAGAAGATGCTCTTCATACATGATGTGTCTGTTCACACCGACAAAACATCATTTGCATTTTCAAAGTCACTGTACTGTACATGTAACATCGCTTCGAACATATTCAATGTTTTTAACTTTCTAACAAAATAAACTTCGATTAACTCGTTTGTCGAAAATTTCAAAGTCAGGATCTGACAGATTTGGTATAAAAGTGTGAAGCTTCCGTTCAATGTTTTTTACTTTAAATATGTGAGATTGTATCGAAGGTAAAAACTGATTATGAATAAAAAACAACTTAATACGCCAAAAAAAACAAAACTAACAAAAACTCAGAAATTGTCAGTGACAGATAAAAAGTAAACCCTAGGGGCTTTTTTTACTCGTCTTCCTGGCTACGCAACCTAGCAAGCCTGTTGGTAACGACAATGTCTAGCTGAGAAGCTCTCTCCACAATCGCTTTCCTCTTCTTTGTTGAAACATTGTGAGCAATCTCAGCACAGTAAGTCCTGTGAACCCAAAAGCAAAACATACAATGATAATTTAGCTTTGATTATTTTTCTAGCCTGTTGTGGAATAAAGTAATGAACCTGTTGTGCATCATGAGTAGCTCGAGATCAGCAGAGTTGTGAACAACGAATTTCTTGAAACCGTTGGGGAGATAGTGACGGGTCTTCTTGTCAGTTCCGTAACCAACATTGGGCATCAAAGTGACACCTTTGAACTTCCTCCTTACCCTGGAATCAATACCCTTTGGCCTCCTCCAGCTTTCCTGTAACAAAACCCAAACTGTGTCTGAGTTAGTAAAAGGAAACTATACAGTAAGAAAATCTAACTCGATGTTTGAGATTATGAAAATGTAAACAGGATTAAAAGTAACAGTAAGCTTACAGAACTTAAAAGCAAACTGTGTCGCAAGACCTGTAAAAAGTGTTCACTATACGCCCTTGAAAAAACGAAGTGACCAGAAACAGGAGTTTAATCCTGGCCACCAGATACCATAGGGCGTTTATGTAGATGGTAATGAGAGTGACTATTAAAAAAGCTAGATTATAATCACTAATCGTTAAAGCATCACAATGACCTGGTTATGTCACACAAACCTATTAATCTCTAGGAAGTAACGAATGGACATAACATTCCACGAATACCAAAAGAAGAGATTACCTTGACGGTGATTCTACGGTCACTCTGGGGTCTGATGAACTTGGCAGACCTCTTCTTCACCACCTTCTTTGTTAGCAATGGTACCGCCATTTTTGCTCCTTTGCTTAAGATCTCAAAGGAGTTTCAGTTGGGCAGCGGAAAAAATATTTTATAGGAGTGTCCTAGGGTTTCCACATGAATTGGGCTCAGGCCCATACTATGGCCCATAATAATTTCTTCACCTGGCTCTTAAACTATGAATGCTGGAACCATGGGATGCATTTTAGATGCAGAGCACTGACAATGACACTGGTTTTGCAGAGTATTCACGAAACTATTAACACCCAAAATGTTTCTTTTCCTTTCAAATGTCCAAAATTTGGCAGCGTAATTTTCACATGAATAAAGTTATTATCAAATAGCCCTTATAATTTTGCCAATATATCAATTACACCCCCATGTTTTTTTCTAAATTTCAAGACACCCAAAAATTTAGAAAGGCTCGTGTATATACCCAAAGAAGCTAATCGTTTGCTTGAGATTGTCTGATGAATTTTCATCACGTTTCAGCTTTGTTGGAGAGTGTTGCACTTAGACAAACGTTCTTTTACTTCATCCCAAGCTGCTTTGGTCATAACGAGGTTAATGAGTAAATGTTCATATGGGTTAACAAAAAGTAAAGAAAAGAAAAGAGGAAAGATCAAGATTCAAGAGTTTTAAGTAAACCTGGTAAGTTTCTGAAATCAGGTTCAATTCCACCACCATTGATGTCTATATGGTTTGGTGTGACATATTTTCCTATTGTCACAACAACTCCTGAACCATCACGGAGCTCGAACACCGACTGAATCAAACCCTGCAACCAGTGAATTCAAACCCACAAGAACATGATCAATAACATTTTCAAATGGATAGATTCAATACAAAACTATTAAAGAAGTTGGAGTAACCTTTCCATACGTTCTTTCACCCACAAGAATTGCTTTACAGTTATCGTGAAGTGCAGATGCCACCTGGGAACAAAAAACAGAGAAAACACTTCGTTTAATGATCCAAAAGAAGATGAGTTTCCGTGGCATATAAAGCTTATTGAGATTACTCACAATTTCACTAGCACTTGCTGTTCTGTTATTTACCATTACCTGCAACAATAATAAGAATTCTAATCAGCTCATGATGCAAAAAAGGCATTGTAGTGTTAATAAATAAATGGCTTACATGATCAATCACATACAATAAGAGGGGCAGTGATCAATGGTTGTCTATCTGCAACAACAGTCTTTTGAGTTTCCGTGTCCCTCCCGGCTGTGTATATCACCTGTTACGCAGTTGAAATATACAACAAGAGTTTTAAGTAAATTTCAATGGATTTCTCCATGTAGTTGTTGAAGTAGTCTATTCTGTGATTTACCGTATCCCCTTCATCTAGGAACAACTTAGCAGTTTCTATTCCAGCCTGCACAAGTCCACCAAGGTTATCTCTAAGATCCATTACGAAGTAAGATGCACCCTTTTCCTGGAGTCGTTTCATTGCTGCAAATATAAGCATAAACACAAGTAAACAAAGGAATGGAACCACAAGTTGGAAACTTGAGATGTGACAGGAAAGGCTTTACCAATCACCAAATCTTTCCTAGCCAGAGCATTGAACTCTTTTAGACGGATATACCCAACAGAGATTTTCCCGTTGTCAATTTTCTCCAACCGGAAAGAGACTGGAGTCAGCGCATTAACTTGTCTCTGGACTTTAATTGACCTAAGCGGTCCACATTTTCCATGTTTCAACTGCAATACGCATAGTCACATCATCAATCTTTTAGTCATGAATTTAGTTTGAATTCTGTAACAAAGAATCATACCTTGAGAACCACAAAAGTTTTACTAGGGCCTTGTAACAAAGATGACACTTCAAATGATGATTTCCCAGTAACATCAACTCCATTGACAGCAAGAATCTCATCTCCCTAGCAAGAGAAATGCATTGCACATTTTTAAAGTCAAATCATCCAACTAGTAGAAAGAAAATAGACTAGTTATGTTAACCTGTTTCACGCCAGCAATGTCAGCAGGACCGTCTAACACAATACCAAGAACCTTCAGCTTAGCCTTTCCACCACCATCAGAAACTTCTCTAAGGTTTATTCCAATACCTGTGATGTCATACTTGGACATCCTGGAGAACTTCAACAAGTAACACAGAAACAAACAAAAATCTGCAACTGAGATCACTCAAGACTCAAACCAAAAGGATGTAACTGAGACAACGGAAGACTCATCCATCAACCAGATTCACAGAATCCAAATACTGAATGCAGTCAAAGAACAAAAACTTCAACAAGTGACACATACAAAGATTTTGTGTAACTGAGATCACTTAAGATTCAACAACAAAGAGTTGTTTCACTGAGACAAGCTTAAAACTCCTCCATCAATCAAAATACTGAAGGTAGAGAGAAAAAAAAAAACCTCATCTGGTGAGAGAAAGCGAGTGTACTGATCACCCAAACTCCCCAGCATTTTCTTAATCACCTCATGAGCCTTTTGCCTACTCTTAATTGGACTACTCAATATCTCCTCCTTCTGTTTCTGCAAAGCAACAACAACAAAGTTTCAACCTTTACACATAAAGTTCCTTCCTTTATCCACCCATCAAGCTATTTAACATTACCCACATCTATATAAAACCTTCATCTTCACTCAATCCAAAAAAAAATCAAATCTTTACAAATAAAAGTTTCTTCCTTTATGTTCAGTTACCTTACCTGCCAAGTTTCAGGAGTCCATCTATTGCTTCTAGTATCTAGAAATGCGTCATTAACAATCTCCCAAGCTTCCTCAACAATCCCTTCATTAGTTACTAACAGAGGCCTAACGTCATCATCTACCAAATCAGTATCAGCTTCTTCCTCGTTAGGGCAATCCTCCGGAGAAGAATCAGGCGATAGCGAAGGAGGATTAAGAGATAGGTAAGGGTCAATAGAGGCGGCGACGGAGGGAATCGGAGAGGAGAGGACGAGAGTTAGGGAGAGAGCTCCGGTTAGGGTTCCGATTACTGATTTTTTGAAAATTTTATTCAGAACAGAGTAGTCGATTTTTGACGGAGGTGGATGATGTTCTGGTAACGGCGGAGGTGACGTGGCGGATAACGGCGAGGAGAATGGGAGGAAGAGCCTCATCTTTGTTTTAACGGTTAGTTTTTTATCCGTCTGTGAGGATTGAAAACCAACAGATATATGGTTGGAAGTATTTGCAAATATATCCTCGTACTTTTTAAGTATTATAATGAAAGATACTAACTTTATAATCTACATTAGTTACCCAAAAAATTGAGGAATTGATGCTCAATGTCAGTAATTTCTTCAATAAAGTCTGGAGATTAATGTCTTTATATAATTATTTTATTTTTTTCTCGTTATCCCAGGAAAAAAACTATATAAAGCGCAAAGATTGAAAGCGTTAGAGAGACAGAGAGGGAAAGGAACACAAGAAGGTTTCTTGCTACTCAAGAAAGAAGCGAGAGAGAGAGAGAGAGAATCCTTTTTGGTTCCTTCTTTCTTGCACGCGACTGTGAAAGAAAGATGGCGGAGAAAGAGGAAGACGGTAACGATGGTATGCTGGGGGAATTGAGAGAGATGGCTCAGATGTTGCAGGAAATGATTTCTCAAGGTTTCTTCCTTTTTCTTTTCTTTCTAGTTTTTAAAGCTCTCAAGTGAACCGAAGATGAAAGATAACAAAGCAACGTCCTTAGGATGATCACTTGTTTCTTCTTATGTGTTGTTTCTTTACTTCTTTCTAGTATAGTTTCTTCCATATCGCTCTGTTCTTATGTTCAATCCTCTTTGTAAAGTTTGCTTCTAAGTTGTTTTTGCTTAGTGCACCAAGTTTATTTCTGATGATGTTTGCTTCGATACCTGTTTCCATGTTCTTGCTCTCCAGGAGTGGATAGTGATCATGATGATGGTCAAGGTGGTGAGAACAAGGTTAACTCAGATGGTAATGAGATTCTTATCTTTGTGGTTCTGTATCTTTTACAAAAGTCTATAAAACTTATCACACTGTGTTTGGTTCAGAGATGAGTAATCATCAATTGGCTGGTTTATCTACTACTTATAATGTCCTTGCTGCATATTACAAGAGGTTCGTTCTTTTCATCTCTTGTAAGAGTCCTTAAAGTTTGGCAGTTGACTCCTAGTTATGTCCTTTTTTGCAGTGATATAGCAAATCTTGAAACTAGGAATGTGCCTGTAAGCTCGAGTGAAGCAGTTCCTTTTTCACCTGAGCCATCTTCTAGGTATCTATCAATCTGTTTGAAGTTTTGGTACCATCAACGGCTGTATCTCGCTTTGTAACATTCCTCGTTACTCTCTTGTGTTCTTTGCAGTGATCTAACAAATGTTGAAATCAAGAGAATGCCAATAAGCTCAGCCAAGGAAGCTCCTGATCCTCTCCTGCGACCACCTCATACTAGGATGATTTCTCTTTCTGGTCTATCACTGAAACCTATCAAGAATGATGATTCCGTGCATGAGAAGTCATTGGCTATAAGAGAGCAACTTGGAGATTCTGATTTGGCATCCAAGTACAACTTGCCTAGTGATGAAGAAGTTACTAATCCAATTGATTACACATCTAGTGACTATGATGTTGTAAGAAAGCAACTTCAAGAGCATTTCTCTCTACTCTCTATAGCGAATGATGTTGACTCAAAAGAGCTGACCAAAATGTAAGTCTGCTCCTCTAAATCTTTCTCCATTTTTGATATTTTAATGATCTTTTAAATGTTTTTGTTCACAGAGATTCCTCCTCTTCAGACCATCTTAAAGCAGAACAGGCGCAGTATGAAACTCATGACTTCACATTTGACGTTAAGCAGTTTGTGAATCCAGCGCAAGCTCCTCCTAAACCAATTCTTCAGAGGCAGAACGCTATGGTAATCAAAATGGCTTCTCTTTGTCTCTTAATCAAGATCTTTGTCCATAAAGCTTGTTTGTCTTCCATATGTTTCTAGCGTCAACAAAGATACACAAGAGAACTGGATCCTGGATACTCAGCTTCTTCTTTGAATCAGCCAATGACTACGAGAGAAAGCATTACTACTACTGCATCTTCACATGGTCATAGGCCATCAATTTCCATGACCAAGGTAAAGTCCTTTTCTCATAAACCATTAACATTTTTTTACATTCTTTGATTAATACTTAATAGTTTTGATTTACATTTTTGGCGCAGGCACTGGCAACAGCTACTGACTTTGTACCAAAGAGGAACCAACAAGCCATGAACCCACATTACTCTCAGTGTCAAGTTCCTTCAGGGCAGTACTATGGTAGTAATACGACGAACTCTCCTTACTTGCCACCACCATCAGCAGCAGCAGCGTTTCAGCAACTTGGTGGTAGTAACAACAACACTTTGGCGCATTATGATAATATGATGACTTCTCCTTACCAGCGACCAGAACAGAATGACATCTACTACATGCCTGATCAGTTAGCTGCCTCTGTTGATCCTTATGCTTACGGTTCTGTTAACCTCTTTGGCATGTCGAGTGATAACGCTGCAAACTTGAGGTTTGGCTATGAAGGTGTTTCAAGGAACCACTTGCCATCAGCTCAGCATCAGGTTTAAACCCAACAAAACTCTCTTAGGGTTTCGATGACTTGGCATGTAAGTAAAGCTTTTTCTTTTCTCTTTGCTTGTTGTTTTGTGCACAGAGTGGAGATTCAATTGTGTGGCCAGCGAGTACCAGACCTAGCCGCCAACTACAGCAGCTTCGGAGTGAGATCTTTGCAACTCATCAGAACCAACAAAACGATAGGAGTCATGATCTGTCTGACCAAACCAAACAACGGTTATGGCCAAGAGACAACTAGAATAATCCAAAACCATATCAGTCACTTTCTTTCGATGGCTTTAAGCTACTTTGTTTGTGAATATTAGCCTACGAGAAAAAACTCAAATAATGTTTTCTGGTTGTACTATCTTTTTTTTTTTTTGAAACACTCTGGTTGTACTATCATTCTTTACTTTTTGTTAATACTAGCTTCATCAAGAAATCAAGATATACAACAATTAAATAATATGCTTTCTTTCTTACACTGTTGCGATGGGTTAATTTTGTTAGTATAATCAAGTTTTAGATGTTGACAAAAAAAAAACAAGTTTTAGATTTTGTAAATAAAATATGATGAAACAAAATTTTAGTTTACCATATAATGAAGAAGGATAAACCTATAGATACCAAAAAAAAATACAGTGTGTACGTTGACTAAAAGCGTTCATGTGTTAATTTGAATATATATATATTCTCGTTTCCAAAAACACTATATAAAGCTCAAAGATTAAAACAGTGAGAAACAAAGAGGGAAAGTTCACAAGAAGGTTTCTTGTTACTCAAGAAAGAACGAGAGAGAGAAAGAGAATCCTTTTCGTTCGTTCCTCTGCATGCGACTGCAAAAATGGCGGCGAAAGACGAAGAGGGCAACGTAAACGCCGATGGTAATCAGGCGGAATCGAGAGAGATGTATCAGGATCTGGAGGAAATATTCTCGAATCCTCTTCTTTATCAAGGTTTCTTCCTTATTCTTTCTTCTTCTTCTTCTTCGACTGTGTTGTTTCGTTTACTTGTGCGAGAGATCTCTCTGTTTTCTTTGTATTCAGTATGTGCATGTAATCTTTTCGGCTTCTTCTGAGTGTATCTTTGCTTGTTCATCAAGTTAATATTGCTTCGATACCTGTGTTTCCACTTTCCAGCTCTTCCTGATCGTGAAGATGAGAGTAACCTAGGCGAGAAGAAAGTGGTATTACAAGAAACATAATCAACAGACTCCTTCTCTGTGTGAATCTTTTAATCTTCAATCTCTCTTCCTTGTTTGTTTGTTATTTGCTAGAGCATGGACACGTCAGATTCTTGCTCTCTAGGATATAGAAGCATCTGGAATACTAGTATTGATCAAGGTAGTGATGAAAACAAGCTATTATCTTAGATGATAATAATGTGATGCAAAAAGACTTGATCTTTGTGGTTCTTCTGTATATGTGTGTTTGATTCAGAGACGAGTAACGAGCAAGGAACTAGTAATCAACTACGGGCTGTTTCATCTACTACTAGTAATGTGCCTGTAACCTCGGTTAAAGCATCTTCTAGGTATCTATCTTCTTGGAGTTTTGGTACCAATCAATGGTTGTTATCTCGCTTTGTAACCACATTCCTTTTTTTTTTATTTGCAGTGACATAACAAATGTTGAAACCAAGAGTTCAACTAAAGCTCCTGTCAAGAATGACCAACCAGCCATGAACCTACCACAGACACAGAGGAACCCACAAGCCATGAACCCTCGTTACCCTCAGTGGCAAGTTCCTTCAGGGCAGTATGGTAATATCATGAGACCTCCTTACTTTCCATCATCAGCACCACCATTTCAGCAACATGGTGGTAGTTACATGGTGCCTTATGGTACTGTGGTGCCATTTACTTCCTGGCGACCTGATCAGATCTACATGGGGCCTCCTTACTTTCCACCATCAGCACCACCATTCCAGCAACATGGTGGTAGTAACATGAGGCCTTATGGTACTATGGTGCCATTTACTTCCTGGCGACCTGAACAGATGTACATGGGGCCTCCTTACTTTCCACCATCAGCACCACCATTTCAGCAACATGGTGGTAGTACTAGTAACATGGCGCTTTATGGTAATGTGGTGATATCTCCTTACTTGCGACCAGAACAGAACGACATCTACAACTACAACATGCCTCAACATGTTCCTCCTAATTATGATGTTTATATGGGTCCTTACGCTTACGGTTATGATAACCACTCTGACACGTCTGCATACTCGAGGTTTGGTTATGATGGTCCCCCAGGAAACTACATGTCATCAATTCGGCAGCCTCAGGTGAAAACCCTATCAAATCTCTCTTAGGGCTTGTTGGATGACTTGGCATACAAGTAACGCTTGCTGTTATGTTCACAGATCGGAGATTCAGTTGTGTACACACCGAGTTCCAGCAGCCAACAACAACGACAACAGCAACCTAGGAGTGATGACTCTGCAACTCAGAACCAACAAGACGATAGGAGTGATGATCCCTCTGACCAAACCCAAAGAGACAACTAGAGTAATCCAAAATCAACTATCTTTGGAGTGATTTTTTTTTTATGGCTTAAGCTACTTTGTTTGTGAAAGAATAAGGTGTTTTGAACTACTACGTCTTCTATCTTTTGTTTTGTTTAATACTTACTAGGCTCATCAAGAATTCAAGATATAAATGTAAAATGAATATTTTGTTGGAATGAAGTTTCGAGTTTTCTTAGTTTTCCTATGAGGGTTAATTTTGCTAGACATCGAGATTTTAGCATATGTTTTAACAAATTATATGAATGACAGTTCCATTTGACTGAAAATTTCGGTTCCGGTTTGAAGGAATAAAGTTTTGCTCACAAAATTCTATAGTGTACTTGTTAATCTTTGAATTTATTTTCTTAATTGCTGGTATGATCCACTTTCATTTCTGATTAAACTGTCAGAAGAAATATTCTTTATGATTGATTGTTTCTCAAAATGCGCCAGGTGTAAAATGATATTGTAAATAAAGGTGTAAGAAATGCTCAAATAGTCTGAATATATATCAAAAGAAAGCTAACGAAAGAAAGAAAAACCGAATGGAGGGCTCTCTCTCACTCTCTCCTAGAAAGAGACTTCTCTCTCGTTTCCTCTTCCTCTTTTGAGAGGCTAGAGATAGTTTTGAGAGTGTGGAAGAGCGCCTCTAGCCATCTTTGGTGCCCATGCCTTCTTGTCCGGCATTGGGTGGTCGGTTATTTATCTCCGGGAAGTGATGGCTCCGATTAGCATCAGTTTGCTAAAGCTTGGTTATTGTCTCCGGGAAGTGATGGCTTCGACTAGCATCATTATCCGGCTAAAGTTTGATTATTGTCTCCGGACCGTGCAGTTTTCCTCAGCGGTGGTCGTGGTATTTATGTTTCTTTGGTATTTCTAGATCTATGTGGTGGTTCCGTTCTTGTGTGTTGGTGTTTGGTGCTTGGATGAGACATTGGTTTCGTTCGATTGAAGCTCTCCAAAGACCAAGTTTTCCGTTTGGTGTGTGATGACTTCGTGTTCAAGATGAGATCTCGACGTTGCTCGATTGAAGCTCTCTGGTGAAAGAATCGGTTGTGATGAAGTCGTGTGCGGTGGTGTTGCTTTTATGCGTGGCGGCGTGTTTCCGGTAGGTCGTTCGGCGTGTTTGGTAGTGTTGGCGGCTGTCTAGGTTTACACTGGTTCTAGGGTTGTTCTTCCCCTTTTGTTTTTGGGCTCGTGATGGGTTTGTTGTTAATTGTCTTAACTGTTGGGCTTGTAGTTCTTTCGTATGCTTGTGGGTCTTTGGCTTTTAATAATATTAAGTGAAAAAAAAAGTTTGAATATATATATTTTTTTCTCTTATCCCAAAAAGAAAACTATAAAGCTCAAAGATTGAAAGAGAGGGAAAGGGACCTAGAAGGTTTCTTGATACTGAAGAAGAAGCGAGAGAGAGAGGGAGAGAATCTTTTTTTGTTCCTTCTTCTTGCACGCGACTGTGAAAGAAGGAAAGCTTGGGAAAAATGGCGGTGAAAGAGGAAGACGGCAACGATGGTATGCTGGGGGGATTGAGAGAGATGGCTCAGATGTTACAGGAAATGATTTTTCAAGGTTTCTTCCTTTTCTTTTTATTAGGAGATATATACTTTAACGCAAATTAGATTATTTCTTTATATGTTTGTAAAGAATGTTGACAGACTTTTGAGAGAAAATAAAAAAATTTATTCTCCAAATTTTTTATAGTATCAGAGCAGTCGATTTTAGGGATCAAAACTGAAAATTTCCGCATTTGAGATTCGATTGGTGCTAGTGAAAAACGATGGTGGTATCATCGAGATTAGAAGACAAAAAAAAACAGAGTTGTAGATGAAGCTCCGGCTTTTCCCAGAAAGGATCATTTCTTTAAAAAGAATGATGAAATTTAATGACAAGACAGTAAGATCTACAAGATCTTACAAGCCGAGGGAGTTTGTGTTCCTATTTCTCAAAATATGGGCATAATGTTAGATTTTGCTATCGGAAATATGGATATTCAGATTGGTGGCTGGAAAAATATAGAA